CCCCCTTTGTTTTCGAGACAAGGTTTCTCTGTGTAACAGCCCTAGCCGTCCTGCAACCTGCTCTGTAGACCAGGCTAGCCAGGGTGCTGGGATTAAAGGTGTGTACCCCCACTGCCCAGCTGTAAATAAATTGCTTATTGATGAGAGAGAAAAAAAAAGTGTCCAAACAACATTAGACAAGAGCTATCCGAACACAAAATCTAAGCAGCTATTACAGCACATAAAGACTTTAAGGGACCGTAACCACTCCTGAAGGACACTAAGTTGAGGAGTGAAAGAAGCCAAGCATGCACGCCTATAATCTCAGCACTAAGGAGCCTGGGGCAGGAGAACACTAGCTCCAGGACAGCCAGAGCTACTGATGAGACTGTCTCAAACATTAAAAAAAACAAAAACAGGATGGCCAGGCATGGTGGCACAGCTCTTTAATCCCAGCACTTGAGAGGCAGAGGCAGGCAAATCTCTGAGTTTGAGGCCAGCCCGATCTACATAGTAAATTCTAGGACAGCTAGGGCTGTTACACAGGGTACCTAAGTAGTCACCAATTTTCAAGTCACCTGTCTTGAAAATCTGAATGGAAAGAAAAAAAGAAAGAGAAAGAGACTGAGAGGGAGGGAGGGAGGGAAAGAACAGGATGCCTATGAATATTAAATCCCACCAATAACCACCTGTTTCATTTAGTCACAAGAAAAAGATTTTCATCAGTTACCTTTAAAATTTTCAAATATAATTAGGTTGCATGACAAAGCATCATTACAACCTAAGTATCAGTTAAAATACAAATGCAGCTATAATAAGCTATGCAATTACCACCTCTTCACCTGAGCACTTGCCAGTCCACCTCTGACGGCAATCTCCAAGTTATTTTTTGCACATATCCTTTAGGTAATATCATCACATGACTTCTAAGATTAACCATGGAATCAGAATGAACCATGTTCACCAATAATAAAGCATATGTGGGTGTCCACACAAATTGTGGATTATTTTTCCCCCAGGGGCAAAAAAAAAAAGAACTAAATAAATGACCAAAAGGTGTCTCATGAAGCTAAAAGGTCACTAGCTGAGCAAAGTTTATCAGTATAAGCTTCATGCAAAAGTAAGAATAAAATAAATCTTTACGTATTATGTAAACGATTTTCAATAAACTTTTACAAGGCATCTTCCTCATATGTTGTCAGGAATAAAGGCATACACAAAGTAAACTGTATTCAATATTTCTCTTCACAATGTTTACTAAGTACTAATTTTGACAGACAGCAACTTTGCAAGAGTAAATCTTTGAATTCTTGCCTTTGTGTAATGAGAGAGAGAAAAACGAGTAAGTTTGATGACAAGTCTTGGTGAGACTTGTGGCCCACCAGAGAAGCCCTCTTCTGAAATGGTACTGGGAAGTTAAAAAGACTCTCTGGGGTACTCTGCTATCATGAATCATTAGAAATCCCTAAAGCAATAAAGCCCTAACTTTAAAAGAAAAGAGAGTCCCAAAATGCTTCGAGAAGCATGTTTACTAGTTTCTAATGACTAGTGAAGGCATTAATTCAGCTTAACACCAATCTCCCAGTCATAAAATGTTCACATTTAGTGTAGATTGCGAATTTTTTGTTTTCACAAAGTACACAAGAACCTAAGACCCAAGTAAAGAATGACTGAAATATATTCAGCAGCAACTTGCTGATTCCTTGGAAGTACCTCCTTTACAAAGAAATGTGAACATGAAGGAAAGAGCAACCTTCACCAGGATGATGCCAAAACATTTCTAATTTCTTTTAAAAGTAAATATAGTTCAAGTTTATCACCTTGCTAAATATAGAAAGCAAAGAATTATCAGTGGTGATCAAAGCTGTCAGAAACCACCAAGTCACAGATGACTAATGGAGTTTAAAATGTGCTAACAGATACTGAACGCTGTACCAAAAATAAGCAAACAAAAGAAAAAAGACTCATTATACTCTTATAAATATACATAAAAGACTGACCAATTAAAGAAATACATGGCTTATATCTTCCACATATCAACTTTTCCTGGGAATCTTTTCAATGTGTATTGCACATCTAATAAGAAGAGTTGGTATAATATTTATCCTCTTGTAGAAAATTGCTTGATTTGTAACAGCCAAATGCTTATTTTTACATAAAAAGCAAGCATTAGATGGAAAGATTACTTTCAGATACAAGCTTGGACCAACCAGGCTGGAACCTGTGGTCTTCGAGGACAGCCTTAGAGGACTGAATTTACTTTCATGATGTAATATGTTAAACATAATTTGAAGCTTAGCTTCGAATTAAAGCACAGAATAATTTTAATAGGATCCAAAGATTCTCAAAAAAATGAAACAGAAAATGTGAGCTAGCCATTACATAACAATAAAGCAAAGAAAAATAAATTAAGACTTTTTGGAAAAATAACTTCATCATGGAAAGCTTTCAATTACAAGTCATTTCTAAAAATAGAAATGTTCAGATGTAAATGATCATAATGTAATGTATGAAAAAGATAATCTCATTTTTTTAAAGTCCTTTAATTTTTTTTAACTGTCTACATAACTGTTCCTCTGCAGAATAACTGGAGGGAGGGGAGAGACCTCCCAAAAAGCATGCCAACTTTAAATAACTGCATATCTTCAAAACCAATACATAAAAGTTTCAACTTAATGCTTATAAAATAGAATCAAATTAAATCAAATATATTTTATTTGAAATTCTTTAAAGTTAATGCCTCAATTTAAGACTAAAAATTGGTTTCAATGCTACTTCTCGACTGAAAAGGCTCCTTTTCTTAACCATACTTAAGAACTCTCAAAAAAAAAAGAAAATTCACTTGACTAGCAATATTTTACCTCCAAATTTCATCCTGCCATTAAAAAAAAAAATCAAGCTAATTATTCTGAAAGACAAGATAATGCTGAAACTAAATTACTAGATGGCTCCTTTCTAAAGGAATTCTGTGAATGAACACTAACTACACAGTAAATTTGCTTACTAAAACGTAGCTCGTAAAATCATTATAGAAGATGAATTATGAATCAGGAGTAACAACATCAGTGTTCAAACTGGCAACCTGAACCTAATAATTTACCTTAGCTTGTCAACTAGGACTCAAGAGGAAGGGCTCTAACTAGGTCAAGTGTGCTCACAAGAAGGTGACACCGACCGAAGGAAGGGAAAGCCTTCCTCCACAGGCAAAATGAAAAGGGGAAAGCCAGGAATGAAACGAGATTAAATCTGAAGAGACTGTTCCCATCTACCAAGCACGTTTCCGCGGCCAAGCGCTGCTGGATTTCAGCAAGCACCTTTTTTATAACAAATCAAAACGAGGAGCTATTTCCTGACCCGACACAAACCCTGGGTAAAAGTGTGGAGCTGTGTAGTGGAAGTCCGCCCCGCTGTCACAAGAGGCTTCCCGCCAAGCCACCCAGCCGGGTCCGCACTACCTCCCGCGCGCGTCCTAAGCGGCTAGCTACCTGCCTCCACCCCCCCTACCCACCCCACCCCCCAAAACCGCCCAGGACTCTCCCCGCAGCTCAGATAGGAACTGCCGCTTGCACCGGGCTTGCACCGGGCTGGAGCGGGGCTTCTCCGCCCGCACGCACGCCCGCCACCATGCCCCGCCACCGTGCCCCGCCGCCGCCGGGCCCGGATGCACTCAGTGCGCAGTGGGCGCCCGGGGGGCTCAGACCGCCGCGAGCACCGGCCGGTCACGTGCCTCGGAGGGGGGTGGGGGGCCGAGGTCCGCGTCCCGACACTCAGGAAGACGCCATCAAAGAAGCTGGCCGCGACGAGGACACGTCCGCCCCAGGGCCCGGTGGACCCCGCAGCGGGGGGGAAGCCCACGGCCTGGGGAGGGCCGCGTTGCGGGGGGCGCTGGGGGGAGGATGGGAGGGGACGGAGCGGTGCGCTGCCAGGTGGAGTGGGGGGACCGGGAGGCACAGGTGGGTTGTGTGGGCACAGGTGGGCGGCCAGGTGGCGTCCCCTGGGGTCCCGGTGACACAGGTGGGGGGGATCGGGGGGGACACACGTGGGTAGCCGGGAAGAGGGGGGCGGGCGGGGCGGCGGGAGTCCCGGGGACACAAGTGTGTGTCTATCCAGGTGCGTCCCGGGGCGCAGGTGGCCAGCCCGCCGGCTCCGCAGGCCACTGAGCCGCCTTGGACCCCGCCCGGCTGCCCACGGGGCGCGGCAAGAGGCGACCAGGACGACCG